CATCCGCCATGGCGGGTGGGTGAAAGACCCGAGCTAACATGGGGTTAGCTCGTTAAATTACAATAAAGCCTCGTGCAGTTTGCAGCAAGCTCTCGAATCCGCCTGGTCATTGGGGTGACCGCGAATGTGGCCTGGGACCCCAGATACTTGAGTTTTCGGGGGTCTAACAATATGTGTAAACAATGCAGCTTGATCGTCTGCTCCCCCAACTCACCTCTTCTGCTCCCCCAAGGAACCCCATCTCCTCCCTCCTACTCCCCCCAGGGACCTCCATGTCCTTCCCCAACTCCTGTAGGCACCCTCAAGACACTTCTCACGACTATGTCCTCTCCTTTCTGTGTGTTAATAGGCCACTGAGTTCATTTGGTGCTGCAGTTAGAACGTTGAACTGATCTTGTACAGGTAACTACGGCGGCATTTTGTTCACTCTGCAATGGCGACGTCATATCTGAGAGACAGCATCTCGCCGTCTCCACCCCATGTCAGAGACATTCCCTGAGACTTGCCGTGGGGGGAGGGGTGATACAGATGTGTATTTAGGGCTGAGCACATATTCGTACCACTTTTGAGTCTCTCTCTGCGTGAACTGCTGCTCTACAAAAAGAGAGGGCGCCTCTGGCCATGGCTGAGGACAGTACTAATCTATGAACACAAACATGTAGTAGCATCTTGTTCTGTCAGTGGACTTAGGGTGGTGGCCGCATCCCAGGGGCGTGGCTTCAGGTGTGCACAGGTGACCCCTTATAAGGAAGAGGAGGGGATGCTCTCTCTTGGGCTGTGATCAGAGCATTGGAAGGGCAGAGGCTGCATCTCCAGGAGTAGGAAGATGGCAGTGGTTGTTATTTGTCATCATTGTGTGAGTGCTCCCCTAATAAATAACTGTTACTCCTTTGTCTGGTATGATCGTGAGCCACCACGTGGTTGCCGGTAATTGAACTCAGGACCTCTGGAAGAGCAGCCAGTGCTCTTAACCTCTGAGCCATCTCTCCAGCCTCCTGTAGCCACGCCCTAAGATGTGCCACTATGTAAACAGAAAGAAGTCTGGCAACATGTAGCTTAGCAAAGCAACAGTAGCAGGTTCCTCCCTTGGGCCATGATCTCCCAAGCCATGGGATTTACAGGACCAGGCCTGAATCCAAAAGTCGTTGGTTATCCTCATAACTGTCATGCCACCACCATGCCAGTGAGCACATCTCGCCTGGGGTTGTCTGCAGGGATATCATGGATGCTCTGTCTTCCCTAGCAGGCTGCATAGCACCTTCCGCCACTATGAAGGCTAGTCCTCAGGGAAGAGATGTTCAGCTCAGTTCCACCTTGATGTCTCTGTGTCCAGCTTCCGAAGTGTATAGTGTCCTCAGCAATAGTGTCTCACTACTTAGTTATGGTGGGCAACCCAGAACAACAGCTATAGCCTGTCTTGTTTGGAGGGACCTCTAGGGCTTCCCTGACCATAAGTCATAGGAAGCTATCCCATGCCTGGTATTGAGATTTTCATTTAATAACCTATGACTTCTGGGGGAATAAGCGCCATCCATGCAGGGTATCTATGTTCAAAATTCTATTTTTATATACCTATTTTCTTTTTAAGATTTACTTCTTTGATTTCGAGGCCAGCCTGGTCTCCAGAGAGAGTGCCAGGATAGACTCCAAAGCTACACAGAGAAACCCTGTCTCGAAAAACCAAAAAAAAAAAAAAAGATTTACTTCTATTTTATGTGCATGAGTATTCTGCCTGCGTGTGTGGGTATGCAGTAGCTGTGGAGGCCAGAAGAGGGCCTTTGGAATTGGAGTTACAGACACTCATGCTCTCCCAGGGGGATGCTAGAACCCAAATCCAAATCTTCTGCAAGAACAAGTGCTCTTAATTTCTCAACCATCTCTCCAGAGCCTTTGTATTTTTTTTTAAATTAGCTTACAAAGATAGTGGGTTTCCATGGGGGTTATAATACGTTAGCCATGTTCCCTGTCCAAGGTGACCATTTAAAATATACTGATTATCAAAACAAAACAAAAAAAAGGAAACGGTGTTGCACGCCTTTTGTCCCAGAACTAAAGGCAGAGGCAGGCGGATCTCTGTGAGTTTGAGACCAGCTTGGTCTACAGGAGTTAGTTCCAGGACAGCTTCCAAAGCCACAGAGAAACCCTGTCTCGAAAAATCCAAAAATAAAATAAAATATACCGATTGTCTTCAATCAATATACCAGGGTCAATGCTAACATTCTCTCGCTTAACTTCCTAAGACCCATATTACCAGCTGGAGTGGCAGTGTCTGTGATTCTAGCCCTTGAGGGTCTGGGGCAAATTCCTGAGGGGGCTGGTGAGATAGCTGGGGTATCTCACCTGGGCAAAAGCCCCTGCTGCCAAGCCTAAGTGAGACCCTTTCAAGACCCACAGAGTGGGAGGAGAGATCTGACTCCCACAAGTTGTGTTCTGACCTGCGAATGCGTTTGAGGTCAGCCTGGTCTACATAGCACATTCTAGGCCAGCCAGGGCTACACAGCAAGACCATGCATCAAAAACAAGTAACAAGCCGGGCGTTGGTGGCGCACGCCTTTGATCCCAGCACTCGTGAGACAGAGGCAGGGGATCTCTGTGAGTTCGAGGCCGGAGAGTTCCAGGACAGGCTCCAAAGCTACACAGAGAAACCCTGTCTTGAAAAACAAAAATAAAACAAACAAACAAAAAAAACCCCAAGTAATAACATTTTTTACTTTAAATTAAATTTAAAAGCTACAGATACGGAGATGGCGTCGGAGACACGGCTCAGCGGCTAAGAGCACTGGCTGGGG